TCGGGAACCATTTCACTTTATGCAGACAAGCATTGCGAAGGTGACCATGGAATAGCTCCCAAAGTTGGCTACAGCAGTGCGGGAGAACGGTTCGAAACGTCTCAAAATCTCCTTTCTCCGAGGACCGCCCGAAATCACATTGCAAAGATAACGTTTCGAAGGAAACTGGCTGGACCACGACACCACATCTATCGTATAGCCCTGACATTGCTCCATCGTACTATCACCTCCTCAGCTCCCTGAAGCAGCAGCTAGGAGAGAAAAAGTCAGTAAATACAACCACCCCAAAAACGACCTCTTCGAACTTTTCATCTCCACAGCTTCTCTCGTTCTGGGAGGAATGCATCCATTCGTTCCCTAGCAAAGTGGATGCATATCAGTGATTATGATGGTGGTTATTTTTGATCAATTGTTCTTAGGAAAGATAAAACTTGAAGAAATCAAAGTGTTGAAATTCGGCCATAAATTATGGATCAACCCAATAAAAGCTGTGGGTTTAGAAAAAATTTCATTGCATATCTTTTTGTAAAACGGAACAAAACATACACTGAGCATCTAGTATTCTTCCTACTGTTGTTTGTTAGCAGAAATGATTCCTACTAAGCTATTCTTCTACGTGTACTGTGGTGTAATTTCAATCTCACTGTGATGTCGAAGGATAAGAATACGTCCGTGACTAGGACGAATGAGAGTATGTTCGCTTCGCCACGCCCATTGCAAACTAGCCGCACATAGAGGAGCGTGGCGCCACGTTGCGATGCCGACAACACATTTTCGGAAGTCTTTGCCATCACCACTATTTCAAGCCAGCAACGAATTATTTTCTGTAGGGTCTACTGCACAATTTCTGTTTTAATTTTGTTTTCAGGAAGCTCAGTCTTACCCACCCGTGGGGTTTCGCTAATGCTAGCAGCACTGTAGCACACCTTGTACTAGCAATGAGCAAGTAGAGGAAATCACATGTTCCTTTAGGCGAAGTATTCTTCATTTGGGAGGCTAAGCGATACACTGGACGTCAGAGAAGGGCAATCTGTTACTGTGAAGGTGGGCTAGTACGAGGGCCGAGACGTAGTGAAAGGCTGCCGACTGAGCCAAGAGAATGGAGAAAAGCGTCCACGGCGTTTACATTGGTGACTTCATCTGACGTAGAAGTTCCAATCACGGAAATCGATGAAAAATCATGACATGAGTTCCCTGCCATTCGTCTTCATCACTGCATGACTAAGCACCATTACCTTAATTTCTAAAGGTCAGCAAAATCCCGAACTATCTGCCTTTCAGTAGGGCCATCTCTTTTTTTGAGGATCTTTATCTTTTTGAGGATAATCAATGACCAATATCTGCGGAACGCTTCTTATCGTTAGAGATCTGTACAACCAAACACGATGTGTCAAAAGATCTACTTTTTACGACATGTGAACTGACGAATCCCAGCAGGTGAGCAGTGTTAGGCCACGGATAGCCAGAAGGCACATTTTTTGTAGAGTTTATTGTTGTTGTTGTTGTCATTGTGAAATTGCTGCTTATTTCGCAAAAAATTATTCTGAGCTTACGTGAGAAGGAGTAAAGAAACATGGCTAAAGTTCTTGACGGGTGTGGAGGAGGGTGAAAGGTGAAGTAAGAGAACAAACATAAATTCAAAGGCTAAAACTGAAATATGTAATGGTCTCAAAATGCACCAACCGACAAGTAGGACTGGTTCCGACACTTCTCACCGAGCTCTTCGTTCTGCAGCAACACGTTCAACTGTTCTGCAAGAAATTCACCTGCTTTCGACACCGCTGGGTCAGCTCTGAAACTTGCCGTTACTATTCGTTTCACTACGACACCACACTGATTGCGATTAATGGATAAAGCTCACTTAATGTCTGTCGTGTTGTACTGGCAAAGGCAGTAGTGGGACGGAATCGGAAGTGTACGACAATTTCTTGCTTCACGCCATTCACGGAAAAGTGACGAACCTTTACTTAACGGTTCCATATTACGGTATGATGTGTCCGAGAAGTTTGTAGATGGCTGCAGCTTAAAAACAGGAAACTGTAGGGACCCAAACCACCGAAGACTTTCACTTTTAATAGGTTTCACACGCAGCGAACTGATTTATGAGACGTGCTTTTGCAATCCACGAACAACGGGCCTTTGATCATCTTTGGCATGCTCTTCAACAATTTGACCCAGTTTGTTTCAAATGATAAAAGCATTAAACCCGTCTCATTCATGGATTCGTGGGTTTTAACTAATACAATCATCCTGCATGACGATTGCAGAACGGTGAACATGGAGCACATTTTTATATTGCTGATCAAAGGAACAGCAATGTTAAATCCTCGTCGGAGTTTTTTTCGGTTTTGTTCTCAGCGCTAAAATGTGAGTATCGGTGTCGTGAACACTGTTTCCTTCAGCCAACCCCTTTTCTAACCAGAGAGTCTTTTAGGATATAAAGCGACTCTTAAGAATAGTTTTTTGTGTGTTCTAGAACTACATACGTTGAGCACGGTAATGAGGTTCATTTTTTTCTGAGCGACCCTCTCAAGCTCAAAGAAGAAGATAAAAATCTGTACCGGAAGAGCAGCTTTTACAGCCATCGGTGTACCCTTCTGAAAATGAGAATTTTAATACTGGTGGCAGACGTTACTGTGCCCAAATAGCGCCGACTGCTCCTAGCGACGACAATGGATATCATATTCGAGATCGAGACTGAGGAAGAGCGGGGTGGGTTCTACCTACCAGATGGGTTCTACCTTGTAGTGGTGTACGAGCTTGAGGCGGGATCGGAATATCCTTCAGGATAGGGCTGCGCCGAAACCCCATACCGATTCCGTGACTAAAGAACCCAAAGTGCCCAAGCCCTTGGTGGGACGGCGCTCTCCTTGAGCAACGGGAACGCCCTGGTAAGGCTATCCCGTGGGACGAAAAATACCAGATAAAATACCACGACCACTTCTTATAACTGCCTTAGTCCCCTGCAGGCTGTCCCTGCCCAGTCCGGTAGCGCTGGATCAGCAAACAGCCAAAGGCGAGGAAATCTCAGGGCCGTAGGCTACCAATAGGAAACGGACAAGAGTGAGCCTAATTGGTTGCCTGCACCCAGAGTCAACCGTACGTTGCGCAGTTTCGCCCGATTAGACACGTTCTCTCGCGCGAACATTCACACTCGCATGCTCGAGCCGTCTGTGTCTCCGCCCATACAGCGTGCCGTTGAAAACTGCGCAACGCACGGTTGACTCTGCCGCACCTACTGCCGTAGCATCAGTTTCCGCTCAGCTTCCTGTACTTGTTGACGAAGCTCGACGGATTAAATACCATATAATCGGCCTCAGTGAAACAAAGCGGAAGGAGCCCTTATCCTGCACGTGGACCGATGGGACGTCAGTATTCCTAGGAGCCCGCAAGTCCAACTCAACATCAGGAGGCGTTGGCTTCATAGTGTCACCGGAGTTTTCCAAACATGTGCGAAGTGTAACTTTCCATAGTCATCGGCTCGCCGTGCTAACCGCTTCGCTCTCGAGGGACATACAGATAGCGGTGGATACAAGTCTATGCGCCTATAGCAGACAGTGATGAAGAGGAGCACGATGACTTCTATGAGCAACTGGAAGAGCTCATTCGCAGTCAACGCAACTACGTCGTGGTGATGGGCGACTTCAACGCTCGTGTTGGATCAAGGAGAGCCGGGGAGGTCTTCATCGGTCCACATTCAGCCGAAGATCGTAACGAAGCTGGGCAGAGACTAGCGAATTTTTGCGAACTCCATCATTCTCTATCACGGCAATAGTCAGTTCATCAAATCGCCGAAAAAAAGATGGACTCACGTAACCCCGAATGGGACAGCATTGTCATGAATTGGATCACATCTTATGCAACCGTAGAATCATGACGGATGTTGCAGTTGTGCCTTCGTTCAACACGGGTAGCGATCACCGTCTGCTTCGAGGACGATTCCATTTCGACCGCAGCCTAGTGCGCCTGATGCGCATACGCTCTAGGCATTCCACACCCACCGTGCTAGACGTAGACGCTGTCTCAAGGCTTGCGAGCGAAGAGCGTTTGAAATGGTTGGTGATGTCAACACCGATTACGATAGCCTCGTGCAAGCGGTAACAAGAATCGGAGAAAGCTGTCGCAGTACCGCTCCAAATCATAATGCTCGTCGTATCACTGCAGCTACTCGTGCTCTTCTCGAGAAACGCAGGAATATGGACAGACAAAGAAACCACTTGGAGTACACTCTACTCAGCCGGTTGTGTAGAAAACGGATTGCTGAAGACCATGCCAACTTCATAAGGTCAAGACTCCTAGACGAGGCGGAAAACAGACGGAGCCTGAAGAGAACCAGAAAAGGGATTGCCGAACACCGCTTGAGGATTCCGTGCCTCAAGGCTCCAGACGGATCCCGTTGCTCATCGATACAAGAAATGGAGCAAATTCTGGCAACATTCTACACAGCTCTGTTCAAGTCAGACATCCCCGTCATTCGAAGGCAGCATCGAGCACAGATGAAGTTTTGCCCTTTCCAACGTCGGAAGTGCGCCATAGAACTCCATCGAGCATGCGCTCTGCCTTTATATCGAGCTACTGCTGAGAGGTGCACACGTTCACCTAGCCGACTGTGCTGTTCCAAGGGCGTGGAAGCAGTCATCGACAGTGTTACTGTTCAAGAAAGGCGATAAAGAAGACCTGGCAAACTATCGTCCCATCACTCTGCTGCCGGTATTCTACAAAGTGTTTACGCGTTGCATATTGGCGCGTATCCGACGAACATTGGAAGAGGCTCAGCCAGTAGAGCAGGCAGGCTTTCGCCGCAATTTTAGCACGCTCGACCATATTATGACCTGTCGACGCCTTATCGAAGCATCGCGCGAGCATCAACTGCCTCTGGTGATGACATTCATTGACTACAAGAAGGCGTTTGATTCAGTGGAACCAACGAAGGTATGGAGGGCGCTGGAAGACCAAGGCGTCGAAAAGGTGTACGTGGATGTGCTGCGCGAAGTGCTACACGGAATTGCTCAACAGTGTTTCGCCCTTTCTACAATGACGTTGTTGTTGCAGTTGAGAAGGGCGTGCGGCAAGGTGATCCAATATCACCTAACCTCTTCACTGCTTGTCTGGAATCCGTGATACGCCGCTGCGACTGGAGCAGCCAAGGAATCAACGTCGACGGCATGCGTTTGAATCACCTCCGATTTGCCGATGACATCGTCTTGATTACGGATTCGCCAGAGCATGCATCTGAGATGCTAAATCTTCTGGACGAGGAAGGAAGTCATTGCGGTCTCGTTATCAACACCTCCAAAACAAAGGTCATGCGGAATCCCTTCTCAAGGCTTCTATTCTTCTCGCGCCCCTGTACTTCTAAAAGGAAGTCCCATCGAAGACGTTGAGGAGTACATATACCTTGGGAGCCAGCTGAACATGAAGAACGATCTTTCCGGAGAGCTAGCGAGACGTCGTAAGGCTGGATGGGCCGCCTTTAACTCAATAAGAAGTGTTGCAGAGGATCGCAAGCTCCGGGCCGACCTATTCAATTCGTCAGTGCTGCCTGCCCTCAGCTACGCCGGAAACCTGGGCCTTAACAAAATCGCTGGAAAAGCGGCTTCAGTCTCTCAGGCATCAATTGATCCTGCACAATTCAGACGTAAGAGCCATGTCGAAGATTAAGGACGTTTTAATTCACGTCAATGAAGCGAAGCATCGATTTGCTGGGCATTTGATCAGAAGAAATGATGGACGTTGGAGCTCGAAGACTGCTCAATGGTATCCGCGCGAGAAGAAACGGCCACTTGGCCGCCCTCCTTTACGTTGGGCAGACTCTTTGGCATACAGAAACAACGTGTATGATCCTGTGTCCCTTAAGGTGGCCGTACACTGGACAACGAAAGCCCAAGACCGCGAGCAATGGAAAAGAAGTTGGGACCCGCGCAAGGCCAACCGCCGTGCTGATCAACGGGTCGTCTAAGTATCTAAGTAAGTAAGTCTGAGGAAGAATCATTGCGGAAGCTTTAAATCGAAATCTCATCACATGTCCAAAAAGTGTGGTAGTAGCCCTTATGCTGGAGAGACGTGGAGGCGAGCTAATACACATCCTCTCCAGTTTTCTTCTCGACTTATGAGATAGTCAGCCCTAGAATGAACAATTATATCCACCCAACCTACCGCTAATAACCAGAAAGACACATGTGATGATATAAATACAACTTCCCTCATTTATCACGGAGTAGGTGGTTATCCTTTCCAAAAGTTGATGTTCTTGTCTATCACGTTTTGTCATCCTGTTTTGAGTATCAGGTTGTGATGCCAGATGTGCTCCACGGGAAGGAATTTTGGTGAAGTGTAACCATCGGCTGCGTAGCGTTTGCTATCATCTAAAAGCTCGTCTCCAAGCAGGCCGTCTGCGTGCCATACCACTATGGATTACGCGTGACCCAATTTTTCGAAATTGGGTTCAAAATTTGATATTCTCTAAAATTCAAGCCATAAGGGTGATCCAATGCGCTGATTACGGATGTGACTTCCACCCTTGATATTACGCCATTTTGGCTTCATTGAAGGTGGATTTTACGATAAAAAAAATGGTGTATTGGAAATATTGGAAATAAGGGTAAAGATAGTAGCGAAGCAGGGATGAAGAAGAAACCATGTAAAATAGCTCGGAATCCAAAAAATGAGACCCTTTCTTGCCCCTCAACTCCTCATCGTTGTGCCTTTCAACGCTGATGCTTTCGTTGCCACCTAATTACTCGCCGCGTAAAGAAACGCAGCAAGTAATCAGCTGCGAAGGACCTTTCTACAGAACCCATGTCCGGAAAGACTTTCTTAGTGAGAAAAACCGCACATTGGAAATAACCGAGCACTTGTTGAAATAATTGAATGTGAAGTAAATTTTACTGAAATAAACACGAAACGAACCTTCAAAATGTCCATGAATGTGGCATGTAAATCGAAGGGAGTCATGAGCATTTTCGATTTGTTCCTCAGCTGGTCGTGAATAACAGTGTTTCGGAATCTCTTTGGAACCGACACGATAAGAAAAGGGTTGTTCGCCTCGTATTGCCCGAGAAGTACTTTCCCAATCTGAAAAAGAAGCAAATTAAGAATAATTAGCAAAGTTACCAGTTTTAGGAAGTTGCCCACTAAAGCAAATTGTCGGCGCTGCAGAAATTGTTCCAGAGGTTCGGGTCATATTTGCAAAGGTCACCAGAAGTGCCCCCCCCCTCCCACTGCTCCAATACAATTTGGCGCAGGTGCAGGCAGCTTAGTGTGCCGCTAAGTAAATTCCACACATTTTAGCGGCTTTCAATCTATTGCTCCGCGCACTAGTGTGAGTTTGCTACTGCGTTCCAGGTGTATTAACCAGGGCACCGAAAACTTTTGCCTAAGCCCCCATGCATTCCCAGCCCACAGCGGGTAGGGAAGCTCTCATTCGCTACTAATTCTTTATTTCACCTCCGCCCACCTCGGGGCAGGATTTACCCTTCCCTCGCTGTCAATAGCAGTTTAAATAACTTCCTTTGCCAAACTCCACTTTTCCCCAGTTTCCAAGCAGTCTCAGAAACGAGCTCTAAGTTCCGTGCAAAGCCCGCCCGCTTCGGTACACGCCCCTCCTACAGGTAGCAGGTGAGATATCCTCTTCGCAAGCTTATATCCATCTTTCCCCAGTGTCCAGGCGATCTTTGAAGCATGCTGTAATGTTTCGTCGCAAACTCCGCCAGTTCAGTTCCCTACCTACCAATAGCAGTTGGCCTCCGCTTCTCTGCTAACCTATAGCCGTATTCCCGGTCTCACGGTTTGTCTGACATTCGGACTTGTTACAAATACTGCCCACTCAGACCGCGCTCCGCCGACTGTGGGCGGGCTCTGCTCAGTTCAGGTATACTGATGGCACCTTAGATATTGCTCTCCCCGACTTTCCTGCTTCACAGGCTCTAACCAAGTTATAAGTTTTTGGACCGCCATGCTCATTGGATTCGTACCCTTTTTCTCCTCTACTCGCATTCTTTCCTTGCTGACTACTCCGTGGCGTTAGCAGAGAGACTGGTATTTTTTGCATTTTCAATCGAGGGGTGAGGAGGTTTCGGATTTCATCGAGAAACGGAAGCAGTCACTTACTCCTTCACTTTTTGGTCCGTGATCGCTGGTGAAAAATAGAAAGGCGTTGTCCAAGTTCTCGGTGTTCCGCTTAAAAAATCCCAGGAACTGCTCATCGGCATGGTAGAGATTTTTCATCGAATCATGAGCCAGATACACAGGCCAGACGTGACAAATTTTTGGAACTCCTCAAAATGTAGCGTTACAATGCCGTGCAAGGCAAACACTCCAGTCACCAGATCGTCTGGCAACAATTTCACGTAAATGCACAGAAGCCATAAAATGGTGAGCGTATCACTGTGAGTATAAGCAAGTATAGCCTAAGCTATAGTGAGATCGTCAAACGCACGGGATAAGCGAGAATAAATTGAGGAGCTGTGTGTCAACGAAACGATCCGAGGCGTCCTGGCAAAAGATGCTCAAGAAACGAGGTTGAGTGTTGACGCCATACGTTGATTAATGCACCCAGCTGTTGATCCTACCGTAGTGATGAGACATGATTGAAGTCATCCTTTTATCCTCATGCTCTCTTTTGGAGGATCGTTTTGACCCTCATATTTGCTTGCTGCCATTCTACTATATATCGCAAAACAAAAATCTGTATTTTCTTCGTTTCTGTTTCTCTTCCTTTCTTTTTAATTAGCGTTCAACTTCACGTTAATAATTTCATTATGGAGCGTTCCCACTCCACAGCTTGATTTTGGGTGTGCCTTCAACAAACACACAAGTGATTTGGAAACTCATCTAATATATTCCAGAAAAAATCATTAGATATAAGGGCTGAATGATGCCGAAAACTATTCATTTTACCACGATCAAGCTCCCAATGACTTTATCGAAGCCTTTCTGTTTCAAGCAATATCTCACTTATGGATCACACAAGGATCACACAACTTTATTGGAAAATGCTTATAATTGGTATGAGAAGTGGGCGGGAGCTTCTAGAATAAACGTTGTCTTTTTCTCATAACGGCTTGCAGGGAAACACGTACAAACGCAAACAGGGAATGCGAAATGGAGTAAGAAAAGTGAAAGAGAAACAATGAGTAACGAGTAAACAAGAGCCATTTGTATAATGGAATCCAAAGCTATTTATATACAGGGGTGGCCAAAAAAAGAGACACTTCACTCCACATTTCAGACAGCATTAATCACACTTTGCTAAACTCAAATCGACTGCCCCAACTTAGTATTAAAGAGCACATCCCAATCTATCAATAAACGTTATAATAGCTTTCTGCACCAACGACATCACAAGAATTTGCCATGGGAACCTTGTGCACGGTTCGAGCTCAACGTGGTCCTCGAGGACCATAGACCATTACGACGTCATTTGAAAGCTGGTCAAAAGCGGTCTTGCATACTCACAGCTAGTGTCTCTGGGAAGCTATTCACCAGTTATTGAAGAAATTATGTAGCAGCTTCAGGCCGGAGCGATTACGGTAAGCCTCGTTGAGCTCGACGGTGATGGCAGATGACGTCATATTCTGAAGACGGTGAGGGCAGTGAAGGAGGGCCTGCTTCTGCTTATGGGGACATCTAAGGAATATTTGCCGTAAAACTTTCATTAACATCGGCACCTGTGCGACGAAAAGTTTGATGATGTGCGCCATGGGCAAAGTGTCTCTTTTTTGGCCACTCCTGTATATTATATTAGGTTGGCAGGAACGAAAGGAATGATGGACTTCGTGTCCCTCGAGCAAGGAGGATCCACTGGACCACTCTAGCACGCGACAGGGACGAATGGAGACGTTGCTGGCGCCCGCTCGAGCAAATCGATGATCAACGGGACGACAGGTGATACAGGTGATACAGGTTGGAAAGAAAGTTCTGCAACACTCTTTCTAAAATTTTCTTTTTTTCTGAAAAATTCATAGGTAACATTTATGACTAACAAATGGTAGAGCATTCTCGAGGCTTTAATCCACGAGGTGGATATAAGTGCTGCAGTCAGTAGTTATCCAAGAAAATTCAAAAAACCTCGACCACTAGTAAATCCACTCCGAGTCACTGTCTAGTACAAATGTCTCCATAACTATGGATTCGTGTCAACGACCAACACTATCTGCAATAGCTTCAATAGGCATGTCGTTCACCGCTACAGCGTGTTTCACCTTTACCAGCGCTTTCGATCTTTTGATATTTTTATAAGAAGCCAGCAGCGTCCCTACACTCCATTACAGGTAGGGCTCTTACGGAAGCTCCACTACAATTCTTCGTTATGGGCACCATTGTGTAGGTAGAGGCCTAGGCTGCGGAACTCCAGAAGCTGGCCGAGGCAGCTCGTCAAGAGCCCTCGTACCGCGACAATATTCATTTCTTTCATGACATTGCGAATCACCATGATCCGAAATGAGCCCGGTAAGAAATTCTGGAGTTGCGGCAAGATTTCTTACCTCTCTTAGCGTATTCCCCTGGTCGAGCTATAAATGACTGCCACCTATCCTGGACCTTAAATCATCATCTTGATGACGAAATAATTAGACGATCAACTCCAACTCGAAAGTGAGGTCGCCTCCTTTCTCGACCCGCACTCCGCTGGGTTTTGGAAAAGGAGCATCAAGAAATTTTCTGAGCGTTGAAGACAAGTGGTGGACACTCATGGTAGATATATGACCGGTCAGGAGTTGTAAACAAAAAAGATAAAATTAAAATCAAAAAATTGAAAAAGTGTTGCAGGACTTTCTTTCCAACCTAATATATATATTTCGTATATAAATATAGTGTACGTCTTAGTTTGGCAAGAAATATATTAGGGGGAGGGCAAAAAAAAGTCACTTTGCCTATGGCGCACATCATCAAATTTTTCTTCGCACAGAATGCCGCAGCTAATGAATGTTTTACGGCAGAATATTCCTTAGGTGTCTCCCCATAAGCAGAAGCAGCCCCTACTTCAATGCCCTCACGGTCTTCAGAATATGACGTCATCTGCCGTCGCCGTCCAAGCTCAACGGGGGCTTACCGTAAGCGGCGACCGTTAATTCCATTCAAATCGTTTAAGGGTGAATAGCTTCCCAAAACAATAACGACTGACTGTGCAAGACCCGCTCTCTTGACCGAGCTCCAGGAGATCGATAAACACATAAGGTGACCGGGTCGAGAACCGTCGTGAGTCTAGTACCCCCCGGTTGACTCAAACTGTTTCCGTGCGAACATCTTTCCATGAAGTGTTCGTGATGTCGTACGAAAGGCTGATCATGTGACCTTTTGATAGATTTGAACGTGCTCTTCAATATGAAATTGAGCTCATTTGATTTGTTTCGCAGTTCGAGATTAATTGCGTTTTGAATGAGAAGAGACTTTTTTTGCCCCCCCCCCCGTTTGGGAGACGTGGGTTTCTCCTCCTGGGTTGAGGTTCACCTACAGGCTGACGCGATCATGCAATGCTCTAAGGTTAAGTCTTTTGATGTAGAATTAGGTTTAATAAGGTTCAGTTCTTACAGCGCAAATGGCTTCACGCCTAAGCACCCGTTGGGCCCAGGCTTAGTCCTAAACTTGCCCGGCGTTGACGGGAGTTCCTCAGCAGAGTATTCCCTAAGTGTCCCTCTATAAGTGAACGCAGGCCCTCCTTCACTGCCCTCACCGTCTTCAGAATATGACGTCATCTGTCACCGTCGTCAGGCTCAAGGAGGTCTACTGTAAGTGCTTCAGCCTGAAGCTCTTACGCAATTTCGTGAATCGATTCAATGTTGAATACTTTTCTAGAGGCGTTAGCTCCCACCAATACAAATCCCCTCGAAACGAGCTTTCCGAAGGTCTTCTTCGAAGACCCCATTGAGCTCGACCAGTGCACCATGTTTCCAGGGCAAATTCTTCTGTTGCCGTCCACGTGGGTGGCCAACATGAAGATTTTCTTATAGAATGAAATGTGCTCTTCAATATTAAGTTGGGAACACTCGGTCTCAATTGAGCAAAGTGTGCTTAAATCCATCTGAAAGTGGAGACAAAATGTCTTTTTTTTTTTATTTGCCCTCCCTGTATATACATATATGTATATATACATATACATATACGTATATAATTTGTTATTTTCTATGAGGCTTCTATCGATCACCTGGATGTAAGGATCGTGGCACAATCAGAGCAAGAAACGCGTGGCGAGAAAGGTTGATTTAACCTCTCAAAAGGTTCAGGGTTCTTCACAACTTCGTAGCCGTGCTCTCACTTTGAAATAAACCACTTTGCAGTTGAACACGTTGCACTTTGGCTCATAGATGAAAATAAGTGGAAGTTCCTCATTGCCTTGATCTCTGTGTTGGAATTTTGAGCCACTTTTAGTTTCATTAGGTGCAACTGTACCTTCATTCCCTTGGGAGTCATCCTAGGATGTTGTATTACATGTGAAAATAAAAGAAACTTTCATCGTGGAATGCTGGGAACGGAGCCTAAAAAAAACTTGAGGGATTTTGTCTGTGTTTAGGTTGAGAAAGATGAGTAAGGATTCATTCTTTTCTTCGAGGCTTATAACAAACGATTTTGTCGGGCATACAGCCTTATGCTTCTTCAAATTCAGGCCCGGGATATAAACTGGTCTACGAGCGCATCGTAGTGAATGCTGCAGAGTCTGCGAAACGACCCAAAAGTGGAATGGAAAGCAAGAGGAATCCTTCAATAAGGTTGGATGTACGATGGCGAGACAGGGCGATCAAAGAAGACAAAATACGCGATAACACGTCGTTTGAGAGAGCACGCTGATCTCCCCTGCTGTCGCGGTGGGTAAGAAGCGGGGTCGTGGTTGCAGGCCCGTAGGTATTAGCACCGTAAAAAATTTTGAGTTGAAACTGAAGTGGTCTAGGCAGGTACAAACCTTACAGTTTCCTCCGCGGTATCCTTCCACCTAATCGGGCTAATCCCGGGGTTTGTCTTCAAGCAGGCATAATCATTACACCATTGACTATTAAAGGAAGCGATTACGATAAGGAATTTTCGCATCGGGGGAGAACCTGCGCCACACGGAGCAATTACTTGGCTGCCAAGGAAGCGATGTGTGGCCCTCCCACGGCGAAAGGTGCTGTGGTTGCTGAGCAGGACCCGCGTGACGCCTCCGCCCCCAGTGACGTGACGCCCACTAGTTTTGTTGATGATCTGGATGGACTGTTTGCTGTTGGCTTTTCATTTTGGATGATCATTTCCCTTCT